ATCCATCCACCGCAGGCATTTAATCATTCCGCGGTACGCTTCCACGCTTCGTGGAATTTCCTTATCCGTCAACGGGCATACATATATGCAGGGGACGGTGGATGCGTGGCACCGTTCAACGTCGACGAAACGGGAGAAAGACCGATTACCTTCATCCGTGTGTCTACAGGGTGTCCGCAGGATAATCATTTTAGTATTTTTGAATCATTTATACGAGAAATTCATTCGCGAAAATTCATTGTTGTTAATATTCTTTTTTTTTCCCTAAAACTTGAGAATACTTGTGAAGGAATTAAGAATTGTATTCAAAAGAATCCTCTTATTAACAGAAAATTCGGACGATATATTTAAAAAGAAATGCACAAATTCAATGTACAAATTCGAAAGAAGGTTTCGAGAAATATTTCAAACGAGTCACCCTGTACACTACGTTGACCCATGGGATCCGATCGGACGGTATCCACGCGCGAGAGTACGTACGATAACGATTCAATCTTACCTGGATTGCTGTCGGCGTTCGAGCTGAAGAGAACGCAGAGGCCCGTCTCGTAGTTCACCGCCTGGCAGGAATCGTTCGCTTGACAGGTCTCCAAGCAATCGGTGAGCATCAGGGTTCCCGGTATGGACTCGAGCATGTTCGTGGGCGCGGTGAACACGTAGCCGGTCACCAGCTCGAACCCGACCATTTCTGGGTCGCACTCGTCGGAACCGGCCGATGGCCCGGTGTAATCTGGCCCAGAAAGCCCCGATGGGACCGCAGATGGGGCCGGTTGGTCAGCCGCGTGCGTGGAATCTGCGGCTGCCACGCGACCGAACCTCGCGATAGCCTGCAGCAGCAGCAATGCCGTGATGAGTCTTGTCATCGTGCCGCTCCACCTGTTACTCGATCTTCAACTGTAAAGAAAAAAGAAGGAGCAATGGTTATTTTGTCGAGCGGATTCTTTTACGTGGAAATTTTTTCTCTCTTTCTTTTCTAAGATTTAATTTTCGAAATAAAATTCGAACCTTCGAATTGTGGCCAGTCGATTTTTAATTGGTGAGGGGATATAATTCAGAGTTATTTTAATAAGGATATTGGAAATTTGTGAATTTATAATGTGGATGAAAGATATAAGAATAAATAAGTTTCGTAAAGAAATTCGTGTTGAAATGAGAATTGAATGAGAGTGAAGATATATTTTTTTAAACGCGTATAAATTATTTGAGGGGGGAGGAAGATTTTATATTGTTGTTGTTTTACAATTCGAGTTATTACTTGGAATTTATTTTTACTTCAATTAGAAATTCAAATATTTCCCGATACAGATCTGAATATTATTTATTATCAGGATCTATAATAAGTGAGATCGATTTGTCCCGACACTCGTGTCCGTTTTTCAACCCGTTCAACCTGTTCCCTGAATCATCCTTGCAACGTGGCAGATCGTATAACGTAAAATTAACGATTATTCTTTTTTCGCTGTTATACAATTTATTTGCATACTAGCCGGGTTATAAATAGATATATACAGCAAACATTATGGTTCGAAGACGGGAAGTCGTTGGATACTTTTGATTCTTGGCCAAGTGCCGTTAATCATTAGGTACTTGGTTACGTGAAAGTGATCATTTCTGTAACATTTCTGAATTACAATCTTCTCGTTACACTTGTTTCCTTCGAACAACTTATTTTTCACACTTACTTTTCCCTCTTTCTCCCATCCGATTCGACACTTCATCGTGTTATATCATTTTAACAAATTGAACTCGAGAAATGATTAGCACGAATTAGCATGAATCAAATATCCGAAATTTTAACGTATTTCAAGATGTAATAAGAGAGACACAGTTTCACAGTTTAATCAACCTATTCTACTCTTTCTGTTCAATTTTGATCCTCGTAACCATTGAAAATCGATCGAAATTCTTCCTTCCGCGAATATTTCCATCTCTAGTGCCCACATGCTATTCCCTTCCCTGTAAAAACACGTAGTTCCATCCAGTTTCAAAAAAAAAAAAAGAAAGAAAAAAAAAGGGGGGAGACTCGCGAATAACATCGTATTCTCGCATACCTCTCGATTCCCATCGCGCGAAACTAAACAATCGTTCCACCTTCCAACGTCTACCTTTTACGCGTGCGTCCACGCGAAAATTGGCGGGTTTGCAATTCAACGAAGAAAGAAAAGAAATAACAAATCGAGCACAATTTTGAAAATCACTTGTCGAACGAATCGCCGAAGAAAATGATTCAAATTCTTCTCCCCTTCAAACCTACCTGTCAAAATTGTGTTAAATAAAACCTCGAGAAAGTTTTTGTAGCTCTCTCTCTCTCCACCCACAGGACAGGATTATATTCCACCGAATATCTATCGAATCGTGTCGAATATCTCACTCCTCGCGACTCCTCCGAACAGAGAAGTGTAGAACACCGAACGGAGAAGTGGAAATAATACCGGATTGCCGCGCGCACAATAACGTGAACGTGAACGAAGCGAGATGTGCGCACCAACTCGAGGACGAGGATATATAGATTTCACAGAGAGTTCGATGAGCCCGCGCCGCGTTACCACGTCGCCGGGATTAAACGACGATTTGCAATGATAATACGGATGGAATACCTCGCGAGTACCCGCGCTGCAGGGTATAACGACGTCGACCGGCTGGCTCTTAGGCACTGGGTACACCTGGCTGAGCCGCGGCGCACGACTCTTCCTCGAGCTCACCTGAGAAGGGGGAGGGGGCAGTGGGACCGCTGC